GATGGTGTGTATGAAGAGGACAGTGTAAGGAGAAGGAAAATAGAAACCAAAGCCAATAAGAAAACCACCTAAGTGCAGTCAAAGTCACGCTGAGTATTTCATATTCTATACAATAATACAGCAGAGAGAATCAAGAACAACATACACACGTTTGCCTGCTTACCAATCAGTGTTTTTAAGCACTGGCCTGATGCCGTATCCCAGATTCGACTTTAACAAAAAAAGAGACAGACATGAGTCACTATTGTAACTATGGAATGTATTATATCATCAACTGACAAGTTTACATTTTAACCTCAAAGTCGTGATAGAAGAAGTGAAAAACTAAAAGAATCTACATTTTTTTACGTTATTTTTATGTAAGGCGCCTAGAAGGCTGTGGCACATAATAAATGTTACTGAAGAAATAACCACTTACCAGAGACCATCATAGCTACTTGACACTATCAGGGACCCATCACGATTAAAATGCACCTGTGGTTTTATATATGGGGAAAAACAGCAGTATTCGTGTTTATGAAGAGCACGAAGTCACATTTGAAAATTATTTATCTCCCAAGTAGTACGTTGGGTCCCAATTATCACAAAGCTAGTACGCTGTGATTCATGTGGAGGGTGGCAGGAATTCAACAACATGATGATGGGCACAGAAAGTTCTGACATATCAGGTTAAAAAAAAGCACGCTGGGAAATTTACTGTAAGTCGGCCTTGCAAAATTCTAATGTCTCATTTGCATCCGCCTGATTTTTTTTTTTCCCCTCCATACAGACAGCTGCAGTTAATTCAGTTAGCAGGGTAATGGACGGGCAAATAGATTGAGACTAGCTGGTAAGTTTTCATAACAATTACTAGACTGTTTTAAGAGGCCTCTTAAAACATTAAGACCCGAACTGATTCACTGCTCCAATGTCGTGAGGAATTTTGCTAACAGTAGCGAGACCATACTAGAAGAGTGCATTATAGTTACACGCACACCTCAGTCTGGTCCATTTAATTTCTTCAGTCACCCACGAGCTTCCCGCAAAACCTCAATAAAGTGAATTTTAAATAGCAAATATTGAAACACACCCATGAGGGTGGTGGAGACGGGGGTTTGTAAGATCACACAAATTTCTGGTAAGCATTGTGGACTATACTCCATTTTAATGTCAGATCCATGTGACCAGAGCAGCCACAGCTCAAAATGTCTGAAGCTTAGAATTCTGCTCACCTCTGCTTTCGTTTTATAACATTTCATCTCTGTTAAGAGCTGCACACCTTCTGTTTTCCCTACCGTGAATGGATTTTTTTTTTTGAACACACACGTTTTAGTCACTTTCATCCACAAAATGGATGAGATTTTCAATGCAGTTTATTTTGAAGTTATCTCGTTCTACCTCCTGAAGTAGTTTAGAATAATGATAAAGTTATGGAGCAACCCAGATGTACAGCAAATTCAGAATTTCACTGAGCAGAAAGGAGTAGAGCCCACAATCTGTGCTTTTATAGCAGATGCCGCCTGTTATAATGCCCAGAGGCAGAAATCCATGCTGGGGTTCGAGTGGTAAGTATGGGTCACTGGCATCTCCATGTTCAATAATACCCTTACAAGTCATCACATTACACTGTGTCCTTCACCAAGGGGAAGATAGAGGGTAACAGTGAGACACTGCTCCCTTCTTTGCAAAAGGGGAAAAAGCCCTGCTAGATGCAGGCAAACATGTCAGCATGTTAATGTATCTGAAGGCACTTACAGCTGAAACTGGGTCAGAATGCGCAGGCAGCGTCTTGAGGCACTTCCCTGTTTTCACATCCCATATCCTCACACTTTCGTCAAACTGAAGATCAGAGGTCAAAGTCACACAGTGATTTTCAAATGCACTCACTCCCCGGCCGTACTGCCCAGCCCGCATGAACGGATTAACAGGTTTCATCAGGGAGGGGAAAAAAATATGCATGACTACATTCCTCAAGCATCTAGACTTATTTCTGCTTGGGAGCAACCAAGATTTTAATGGAATTCATCTTCACTGCTAGTCACTTAGCACTGTTCACTTAGTGTGGGGATCTTCAAAGGAGTTAAATCCTAACCTTCATGCTTTGCACCTCATGGAACTTTCCTGTGCCAATCACAAGGAGTTTTATGAATTTTAAGCTCAAATATTCATGCAAGGAAGCTAGTATTTAACCCTAGCTTACAGACAAGGTAATTCAGGTTTAATGACTTGCTCAAGGTGACAGCGAGCTGGGAGAAATGTGAGAGGAGGACCCGAGAGTCCTATTCCCAGTCCCTTCACAAGCCAGGTGCATAATGCTTCCTAGCTGCAGAGCAAGCTGTTGAAATTGTCATGAAGCTACGTTTCAGTGATGCCATGGTTTGCATGAAATGGTCAAATAATCCCTCAAAGAGATAAGGGCAATCGCAGAATCTGAACTACAAAGATACAAGGAGCTTCTATTTCCCGAGCTATTCATGCCAGAGCAGCCCTCAGTACTAAGGAAGGCTTTGCAATGAAGTGAATGTAGATATGCTGACTGCTTAGTGAAGCCAGGAAGAACATCTGGAGCTAGACCTATAGCCAACACTTACGGTTCTATGGGTGAAGCCCCAAACTTCTAAAGCTGGGCTGAGGGCTTTGACCTTGGCTCAACAGCCAACATAGTAGTGATGCTACCAACTCTCCCCTTTAAGACTTCATTTAATTACATGTTATGCATAGTAGAATTCAGATGGTCTAGAACTCTGCAGGGTGTATGGGACTTGTACTCCATTGAGTGTGTGTTCACTTACCGAGCCTGAAACAATGAGGTTGGATTGGGGGTTGAAGTTGCAGCAGAAGACATAGTTACTGTGTCCCTTCAGTGTCTTCAAACACTTGCCCTGAATAATTTAATTTAAAATATTATTAGTCAAATATACATACAGTAGATTTACCAGTAACTTTCCACACCTTCAAAGTTCCCATGGTGACCTACATTTTCAGGACTAGTCAGACTGTGATAAAGGGACAACATCAGGTTAAATTTCTACCCCCCTCCCCCCAATCTAGGCTTCTATAAAAAGAAAAAATCCCTCATGTTTTTATGGAACAGGAACAGTTAAGCAAAACAGAAACAAGGTGTTTCCAACCCCAACCCTGTCCCATTCTCATAGTGCATGAGAACCAGGCGGTTAAACGGCTTAGGAACAAAAGTGAAATGAACTAGCTTATTTTAATTGCCAATACAGAAGGCAAGCAAGCTGCATCACTGGTGAAAAGTTAATGACAAATGTTCCATGTCAAGTTAGTCGTCTTCATTTTAAGATGCCCCAAGAGAGGACTGGGGAGAAGAGAGAGAACTCAAGCCCCACCCTTACCGAGCTCACATCCCAGATTTTGAGAGTTTTGTCATCAGAGGCAGAGACAAGAAGGTTGGAATCTGATGACCAGGCTACGTCAGAGATACCCTGAAACAAAGGAAAGCAATTTAACACTGAGCTTTGCTTGCTGATTCACTCCAGAACAGGCAAAGCATAGACAGCTTCATATTTGAAGCCAGAAAGAGAGAAAAGAAAGGTCACCTTAACTTTGGAAAGTCAGGATAGAAATGGATCACAGCAACTTTAACGCATCTTCCTCTTACCACAGGATAGCCAATGACTCTGGGAAGCTTTTAGCTTTGCTGAGCCTCGCATTGCAAGAGCATAGTGGTTTGTTCAACCAGCAGTTCTAGTGACTCTGGGACCTGGTCCTCTTTTTGAAGTTCAGAAATAACAACTTACACATAGCTGGGTTAGATTCATTTCCTTCCCCCTCCCTGAAGAGGGGCTCATCCCTACTGTCTGCCTGAAATGACCCAGAGTAAAATTTTCAAAAACACCCAAGTGACTTAGGAGCCTAAGTCATGTTTTCAAAAGTGATTTAGGCAGCTGGGTCCTATTGACTTTCAGTGAGATTTAGGAGCCTGAGTCTCAATGGACGTGAACGGGACATAGGTATCATCTAAGTCAGTGCTTCTCAAAGTCGGGCCGCCGCTTGTTCCGGGAAAGCCCCTGGCGGTCTAGGCCGGTCTGTTTACCTGCCGCGTCCGCAGGTTCAGCCGACCAGCACATCCCTCGGCCCGCGCCACTTCCTGCAGGCCCTATTGGCCTGGAGCGGCGAACCGCAGCCAGTGGGAGCCACGATCGGCCAAACCTGCGGACGCGGCAGGTAAACAAACCGGCCCAGACCACCAGAGGCTTTCCCTGAACAAGCGGCGGACCGGCTTTGAGAAGCACTGATCTAAGTCACTTTTGAAAACTGGATTTCAGTACTTTGCAACGTATTTCTTCATTTTCAAACATTAGATCTTATTTCCTGGATTTCAGTGGGTAAAGCTATGAGAAATGTCAGGTTAACCCTTTAAAAAAAAAAAAAAAAAAAAAAGCACCATTCTGATCAAAATTTAAAAATTTAAAGCAAATCCTGTAGGCAGAGCATTATACCCTGTAGTTTTCCTAGGTGGAAGCCCAGCTGTTCAAACAGGTAGTGTTAGTGCTCACAAAGGGAATGACTTTCACACTGGCTAAACATTGTGCATGTAGGTGCTTTATCAGCAGTCCACAGGTTTCCGCACATCTCTCTCAATCTTGACCTAAAACATCCCCGTTATTCCGGGCCCGGGCCATCATCATCATACAGGGTTGGGTGGGGGGTTGCCATAGGGACAAATAAACCCCCACCCCCAGATGAGACCAAACAATTTGCTTTCACAGGAATTAAACTACTATACGAAGGCTTCTGGAGGTGAAAGCTAGCAAATTAACCCATTATGCAAGCCCCAGATGCAATACTGAATTGCAATTGCGATCTGAAAGGACAGCTATTTAGACTGCAGAATATTCTTTAGAGTTCAATACTTACCAGTTTGTGACCAGATATTGTTTTTTCAAACTTGCCATCATATGCTCCCCAAATTTTAATTAGTTTGTCAGCCGCTAAAAGAGAAAAGATTCCCAATAACTAACCAAGCAGCACTAAAAATAGCTACCTCGATCCCTTAAGGAGAGAGAAGCACATTGGCTACTTTTCTGCAAACACGTTACAGTTTTTACCCTCAAGCACAGACTTCAGTGCATAAGGTAGGGCGTAAACATGAAATGACAAAGTTTCACTGCGAGAGTTGGGATTACACATGCTGCCTTGAAAGTAAATGGTCTCAACTCATTCAGTTCCAAAATTGAATCCAGTGTAATGTATCTGACAAGCACTAACCTTTGGTTTCTCATTTTTAAAAATACATTTATTGCCAATGAGAAAAAAAGTGACCATGACACATGAGACACTGAAACACTTCTGCCTCAGAGAGAGCAAAAACTGATCCACAAATTGGGCTGACATTACTCCTCTTGAGAAACAAACACGCTACCCATTATCATGTTAGCTTGTGCTCTGTAGGAGAGAAAGAGGTTGATATTTGCTAGGTGTTAAAAGTTAGAGAACTGTCCGGGGAGGGAGGAGAAATTAACTTCTAGAAGGTACTATGAAGAGGGAGAAGTTAATTTCTATGGAGTATACTGCCCATATAAAGGCAGTCACAATAAAGTAAAAGACCAGAATCACTGCCCATTTCTAGAGGCCATCTCCATCACCTTCAGTCCTGTTCCTCTAAACTGCCTCTTTCCTCTCCAATCCCTCTGGGTAACCAGTGCCCAAGTATGTGGTACTTGATTCAAAAGGAAGTTGTCAGGCAGTTGCAATGGTCACCAAAGAAAAGGTTAAACAGATATCACGGTGGACTTTCTACGCAAAAAAACTGTCAAGTTCCTCCCTTCCGAAGTGTGTCAGTTTTGTACATTTCCCCTGGCTACTTACAAGAAAGGAACAGGCAGACTCTCCAAGATGCAATTATATTACGATGCCAATGGAGGGGAGGGAGAGTTAGGAGCTCTCTGGGTGAATCCCACCTCAATGCAGAGAATGCAAGCTAGTCGCTCATGCCAGGCAAGCCCCAATTTAAAGGCTTAAGCCAAAGTTTAAGTGATGCAAAGGGCTGCATGGGGCCCCCTCTGCACGAGGATTAATTTCACATGTATTCACAATCAATGTGTAACTCTGCATTGTTTTTTGTAAAGTGACTCAGTAGCACAAGTTGAGCATCTCAAGCCCTTCAAGCCAGGCAGAGGAAGACCCAACATATTGGACAACAGGACATAAAAGCCAACATTAAAGTGGGTCAAATTTTTGAAACAGCCAGCTTTGAGTGTCCCTTTAAAAAACAAGCCATGTGGTTATATTCCCCCACCTTTTGATCACTGTGCGTTAAGATTAGCCATCTACCTGTCTCCCAACAGGAGGGTTCACATGTGCACAATTCAGATAATGGGAAGGAATTAACGAAGACTAATACTTACAGGAACTGGCCAGCCACTCTCCATTGGGACTAAACTTCACTGACGAAACTGCCTTAGTGTGTCCTGCTAACGTGAACTTTAAAGCGTAGTTTGGTTTTACAGGTGCCGGCTGTAAGAAAGAGTCACACAAGTAAGATGACCGGAGCTTTAACTCAAGTGTTTCAGTTGTACCTGGGGTATCAGATTGAGCCACTATGCAGTGCTCTGCACTTGGATGGCAATCCAGATTTGATCCTTTATTTTTTAAAAATTTAAGTTCCTAGCCCTTATGTTTATGAAGGAAACTTGAGCCAGTACTGTCTTCCTGAGCCGATATAGAAACATGCTCAAACAATGGGTTAAATTCATTCTTGGTGTAACTCCAGCCAAGTCAGCGTTACCGGGAATGAAGTTGGCCCAGGAAGTCTGAGAAGTGTGAAATGAGCCATGTATCTCAATGGAGTGACCTGTGAAGGATTTTTAAAAATTGGGGTTATGCCTTTGTGCTTCTTTATGGTTTAAAATGAAGACCGGAAAAGTTCCCCCACCAACAACAACTTTTCACCTTAAATATCAGCAATGTCAAATCCAACCTTTCCTGGTTTTGCTGGAGGACTTTTTGGGCAAGGGGTTTCAGAGGGGTGCTGCGAGTTCTCACACCCTTACTGATGGGGCAATGGTCTTTAACAAAGGCATCCTTTCTCCCAAATGTCCACAGGCATTGAAAAATTTGAAGTCACTTGCAATCTGTTCCTCTCTCTATTGAGATAATAAATTCACCAGTTCTCCCAGTCGCCCTAGAGCTGTCCAATGGTAGACAACAGCTGAATTGCTAGTGCAGAAAGCAATAAAATATTTTCTTGATAAGACTCTTTTAGGCTTTTTTTTTTAAATATCACAAAACAGAAAAGGACACAAGGACTTATATTTTTTTTAACCTTTTGCAAGTCACCTTTACATACTAACACTGGCTATTTCACTGGTGAGCTTTTCAGCAGAAATATTCAGCTACTCTGGGATCATGGGAAGGCTTTGGTAGGATACCATAACATTCCCCCAGTCTGACCCCGATTGTAATAATTGTGGAAATCATAATTAGCAGTAGAAATAAGTAAAGAAACCAAACTTCTAACAGACCTCATAATTCCCTCCTGGCTAACTGGAAACCCTGTTATTATTTCAAGAAACCCTGAAAGTGTCTCCCCATTTCTGAGCAAAGATTTAATACTAGTGTCACACCAATGTCTTACTACTGTGAGTACATTAGTTACAAAATATACTATGCCAAATGTATGAATACTCTGAAGTGTTACCATAAAACAAAATTTACACATTTTGTGATATATTCTCTTTAATGAATTTTGCAAACTAGCAAAACTCAGTAAGCCATATTGGACCTCAGTTATGCATGTTGAAGGTTACATTATCCACCTGCATCAAATCTAAACTCTTTAGAGCAATGGCAGGAACCTTGTTCTCAGTCTTGTCCACAAAGCACTTAGCATATTCTTCTTTTAATTCATAAAATTCAGTTTCTCAAAATACCCCAGTCCTATTTGTAAGTTTGCCAGTAAAAGATGCAAGTAACTTCCATGTGTACTGACAGGCGGAGATATCGTTCTGAGATTTACACGCACCTTGGTCTGATTGGTTGAGGAGGAAGGAGTAGATTGTGTTTTGGTGGATTCTGCATCTGGTTTCTTCTCTTCTGTTGCCATGGTTCTCAAGCTAGCAAGTCAGCCGTATGGTGCTTGAAGCGATGAATGAATGTGCTGCTTCAAAAGGGAGCCTTTCACACCAAAAAGAACGGCTCTAACAACACAAACCTACGAGAAAACGAAACCCCACTGTTAGCCATCAAGGAAATTATTTCAGCACCTAGAAAAAAGAGAATTAACACAACAGTGCATCCTAACCATAATCCATGTCCCCAAATAACCAGTGAAAACACAAAGTTTCATGCCTATGACTTTGTACCATATGCAATGCTCCTCTCAACTCCCCTTCTTATAAGCTAAACTATAAAGCCTTTTGCTAGCCACATTGTGCTTGTTGTCCTTTTTCGCAGATGCCAAACAGCATTTAAACAGCTAAGCACATTACTATTCCTGAGAACTCTTTTCCATGTAAACAACTGCTGTAGTTACCACAGAATTGTCAACCCGTGGCAAGGGAGGTGATCCATGTGATGCTCTGAGAAGTTGTGGTCTATAGAATACAAGTTCAAGAACCTCAGTTATGACCTATTATCACACTTTGCCAGGTTCCTCTGCACCATATTCAGCAATCACTAAGAATACAGTATAGCTGTGAGGATCTGGCAAGGGTGGGGTCAGTTTATTTCTCAACACATTCCCTGAAATGCCATTAAAATTAAATAGCTCAAAAGCATAAGAGACACAAAGGTTTCATTTCATGGAACAGAGGCAAGTAATAGCCCTGGATGTCTTTCGGGCTGAATGACAGACATGATGCAAAACCTAGGATCATGCGAAAAAATGCAACGGGCACACCCAGAGCTCAAAATCCTACTAGCTTCCTCTGCGCTCTCAATTCACCCATTTCAACCAAGTGTTGCCTCCTTAACTGCATTTCAGAGCAGCAAATCACAGTCGTTTCTGCCATACTTGGAAGACATTTCACCTGATTAAGAGCCAGCCTTGTCGTAGTCTCAACAGACTCGCCTTCTGAAACAAAACCTGTAAGTGCTGTGCCAATGTTCTGCAATCAGGGCTTATACTGCAGAGGGAGTAACCTCTACTGCAGCCCAAGTAGATTTCAGCCTGACAATGGGAAATACCTCTGACACAGACAGTAAGGCTTTGTCTTTAGAAACAAATTATTAGTGTAATTTCCCCACTGTTGCTACCACCAGTTCTGTTCTGCTGGTAGCAGCTGTATTTGGAGTGACGGCATAGGTGACTGGTAGCATTTTAAGCATCATATCATCACTGGGGGGCTATGTAGCATGGTATTGCCCGTGTCTTGTCTACACTAGAGTTCTCTTTGGTGGAGATGAGCCACTGGTAGGAAATTTGGAAGAGATCTTTGGAAACTGTACGTCAGCTTTTCAGCGTGTAGCTCTGTTGAGGACAACGTTATTCATCATTCAGCACTGGTACAAGAGGCAGCTTTCTGCACCAAACAGTAGAAACAGCAATCTTCAGTCCAGGTTTCCTGAATGGCAATTGGCTGATGACAATATGGCTAATTTCAGAGTAGCAGTCGTGTTAGTCTGTATCCGCAAAGAGAACAGGAGGACTTGTGGCACCTTAGAGACTAACACATTTATTTCAGCATAAGCTTTTGTGGGCTTCATCGGATGCACAGAATGGAACATATAGTAAGAAGATATATATATATACATACAGAGAACATGAAAAGGTGGGAGTTGCCATACCAACCCTAAGAGGCTAATTAATTAAGATGAACTGTTGTCAGCAGGAGAAAAAACTTTTGTAGTGATAATCAAGATAGCCCATTTAAGACAGCTTGAGCTCACTAAGAGACTTATACCCAGCCCAAATCATTAATGCTTCAGCCTGCTGGAGAAAGTACAAGCTCTACTTCCGTACTTGTGCTAGTCCAACGTCCAGTCACCTACAGCAGCCTGGGCACCCAGGATGAGACACACCCCCTGTTCTCCATGTAATGAACGGTAAGGGCCAGGATCGAGGCATGCAAGTAACACGGGCCACACAAGCAACCCAGAACCAATGCACAGAAGGTGGGGAGGGGAGAGAGGAATAATGCATGCCCCCTATAGAGGCTATAAAGCATGTGAACCAAGGAAGGAAAAGGTTTGTGAAGGCAAAGTAAGATACAGAATATGGGAGCTAGAGAGGAGGGCAGATCCATACACTCTGGGCATGGGCTGATGCATGCCCCAACCTAGCACAGGAGCTGGGGGGGGGGGGGAGAAGGGGTGGGGCAGGCCGCGCAACATGAATCCAGGGGCGGGGGGGGGGGGGAG